GCCTTGCAGGGGCGGGTACTTTCCGTTCCCGCCCGCCCCCGCCCGCACCTTCATCGGCCCGCCATAATGCGCGCCTTGCCCCCGTGTCATTGCGCCCGCCATGCGAGGAGGTCTCAAGCGACAGCGCCGTGACGTATTGCTGTTTGGTTGTGTTTGTCGTGTGGGCGTTTGGCTGCGCGGCGAATTCGTTGGTTGATCGGGCTTCGCTCGTCTTCCTAGTTTGTTCCACGCGCCGCCTCCTTCAGCCCCGGCCGCTGCCTCTTCCGCTCGCCTTCCTAGTTTGTTCCTTTCGCGCCTCTTCCGCTCGGCGTAGCCACTTTCAGCATTGCAGGATGCGCGCCTCTTTCCCCTCGGCGTGATTCGCGCGACGCATTAGTTCTCTGGCGCATCCGCGCCCCGCCCTCCCGCCCCCTCGCCCCTCGACGTCTTCGCGCACATGTCGTGCGCGCGGCAGGTCCGCTGACGTCCTAACGCGCTGACAGCCAGACCCATTCGCAAGCAAACCCGCTGATGCTTATACCCACGCACCCAACGTAGACACACACACCATTCTCGCGCATAGTCAGGGACATTCGGGCTAACTTGCGCCCACAGTCAACCAGATCTAAACCAATCGTACGTTGATGAACTCATGCCCAACATTCTAGGCTCACCGAATAGTAGCAGGCGTAGCAGTGCGGTACCCCAAGGATGTGCCGCCTGGTAGTGGCCACTGGGTGGGACGCATCATTATGTTTTGACAGACGCGCGAACGCGCGGCATTTGGGCGCCCCGAGAAACAACCGCCAGGAGTTCGGACGCGCGTCCGTTCGCGATCTCAGTTTCAGGACGTTCCAGGCTGTTTGTTTGTTTGGCAAGGTGCGTGATCGCTGCTGCGTAACACAGGCGCCACTTGGGCACCCCAAGGATGACCGCCAGCACACAACGCACCTGCCCGTTCGCGCCCAGATTGCGGCGATCTGCCCGTTTCGCAGGACAGACTTTTTTCTTTTAAGAGCGCGCGGTCGCCGCGATCAAGTAGGCGCGGCACTTGGTCGCCCCAAGAATAGGCTGTGCCCGTTCGTGTCCGCAAAGCGGCGGATGTCTCAATCGGTTTGCACGTTGCTTGAGTCGATCCTGTCTAAACCGCATGACCGCCAAGATCTAGTACCCGTGGCACCTGATCACCCTAAGGATAAAACGCTGGGGTGCATGATGTTTGTCCCTTCGCGCCAATGCCGCGGGCATGTCTCAGGCGATCTGCTCGCTTCGATGATGAGCGTCGCCTCTTGTGGGGGCCACGTGATCACCGAGATTTCGCAGTCGTGGCAATCGGACGCCTCAGCGACGAATTACCGCTGAGGGGGCACTGGTCCGCTCGCGCCCAGAAGCATCTTGTCTCCCACATGCACGCTCAGCTCGACGCGGACTGAGCTTAGGCATACGCAGGCTCCTGCGCACAGAACGTTCACACTCTGTTCATTCATATTCAGACTCATTCGTATGTGCATTACCCACTGCCAGACCACATTCGTTCAGTCCCATTGATACCTTGGTTCATGCGTGCTCCGACTTACTACCCATGCTTGGACACAACCGCGTTCACAGTCATTCGCACCCAGGTATTCCCACACTCAGACTCACTGGCTCTGAGGCTGACCACGTTCATTCCACAAACGTCTACATGTTTATTCAATGCGCAGCAGCGGGGCACGCGAGTGGGGGAGCCGCCATGAGGCTTTACATATGCCCATTCCCAGCTTGATTGTGGGGGGCGCTTCAAGAGAACCATTGGTTCTGGCACCCATGTATTTTTCCCTGGAATCCTTTGATCGTCGCAGCGTAGCAGACGTGCCACCTGGGCTCTGCAAAGGGCAGCCGCTTGGAAACCCTCAGTCGCCACAGGCTAATACGCTCCCACTCAGACACTCACAGCGGGACGTGCCCAGAAAAGATATGCGCACATGGGGATATGGTTGGTTGGTTGGTTGGTTGGTTGGTCTGGTCGCCTCTGTACTTCCTGGGCTGCTCGGCCGGTCGACGCGGGGCCGAGTTGTAACGGGGGTTTGTTTCCGGCAGGGCCCTTCGGCCCCCGCGTCCGACTCGGCCCGTGCTGGTGATATCGGCCAGTTGGATCATGCGGCTCTTGCGGTTTGCGCACTTCACCGGGCCCATCTGGAGTGTGTCATTTCCGCGCGCCGAACAATTCACAGTCCGCGCGCAGGTGTCGCCCGTGTCGCTGCGCCCTCTGCGCTCTGCAGAAGCCGCAGCGACAAGGGCGCCACCGGCACGCGAGCAGCGATCCTTTGTTTTTTGTATTGTACAGGGGCTTGTTTCGCTTTCTGGCCAAGCGGCGCCATCCGGTACATTTGCACAAAACGATGGTTTTGTTTAGGCTTCCGCAGATTGCACGGAAGTCCGGCCGGAATATTATTGCCCTGCGAGGGCGATGGGCTAACATGCATCCCGAATCTATATCGCCAATGCTATGTGAAGTTGCAGGAGTACGAGTCGAGCACAGAGCTGGAAGCCATCAGTCTTTTCAAGGCAGGTGCAGTGAGAGCGGCTAGTTAGCCATCCTAGGGATGGTGGAGTGTGTCGTCTCGCGGATATTCGTGTGGCTCTGGACTTGAAGCTCTCCTGTTTTGTCCTCGGCATGTACTTCATCGCACAGGCGTCTTCGTTGGCTTCCATCTCAGGAGCGCGCGGCTCGTTACCCCGGGGGAACAAGCAAACAGCTTGAGTGTGTCATTGGCGTTTCAAAGATTGACCTTGGAAGGCCGCGTTGATCCCAGTAGACCCCAGTGGCGCTCGCCCTTCGCCGCACGCGCCGCCGTCGGTGGCCACGGCGGACAGCAGGCTGGCTTCCACCTGGACGGGGGTGGGCCGGCTGGCGTTTGGCACGGGAGGGGAGAGATGGGTCGGGGGTGGACAGAATCCCCGCTGGCAGCACACTCTTCCTGCTCCTCCTCCTCCTGCTCGTCCTCCTGCTCCTCCTCCTGCTCCTCCTCCTCCTCCTCCTCCTCCTCCTCCTCCTCCTCCTCCTCCTCCTCCTCCTCCAGGCCAGTTGGTCATCGCGGCCCCGTGAGGCAGCCTGCTTTAGGTCGGGCCCCACGGGCTACGTTTGATCATTGTGTCCTAGCGATCGCGGCCCGACGGGGCGACGCCTGATCTCTTGGAGTGCGCCTTATGATCGCGGCCCGGCGGGGCCAACGCCTGATCGTGTGGGGTGCAAATTTGTGGTTTTCCTAGTTTGGAGGTCGTGCGCAATCAAAGGAGAAGGAGGAGGAGGAAGACCGAATCAGAGGCGGAGGTGGAGGAGAGGGGGGAATAGTTAGCAAGGCTTTGCCATTTTCCCACTATCCCGCGGACGTCGTCTGTCGACGGTGCCGTCGATCTGGCTGCGGCGACGGCGACGGCGGCAGCGGCGACGTCGACCGACGACGACGACGACGACGACGACGACGACGACTGACGACGGACGACGACTGACGACGGACGACCGACGACGACCGACGACGACCGGCGGTCGACGGCGACCGATGGCCGACCGACGACGACCAACGACGTCCGTCTGCTGACGACCGACCACGTACGGCCGACGGTCGACGGTGACGGGCGACGAACGACGACCGACGATCGACGGACGACGACCAGGGACGACGACCGACGACCGACGACCGACGACCGACGACAACGACGTCCGACGACCGACGACCGACGATGGCGGACGGCTGACGTCCGACGACGGCCGACGACGACGACGACGACGACGACGGTCGACGATGTATGTCGATGGAAGCTTCGACTACACGTAAGAGTGACATCTCGCTGGGGTGACCTTTGGTGCGGGCTCAATGGGGCCACTGGATCACTGAATGCGATGCGATAGCAGTGTCTTGCGCGCACAGCGGTGTCCCCAACGGGCCCCCCTGAAGGCCGTGCGCCAGAGGTCACTCTTGCCTGGGGTAACTCTTGCGTGCAGCCGAAAGCCCGAGGTGGAGCTGCTGCAAGACCTGCGGCGCTGCGGCCTCAGGCTCAGGGGGGGGGGTTCTGCGCCCCCCTGGCCGGGACCACTACCCCACGCTCGGGAGCGTTGGCCACCAGCGTGTCGCGCCGCCGGTTCTGGCCCACCACGCTGCGGCGCGAAATCGGACGGGGCTAGGACGATGAGAATTCCGTTCCAGAGCGTTCCAGACTGCTCTCAGAGGGTTCTGGAACGTTCGTAGACATCTTCCAGAGCCGCAGGACCTCAGAGGTTCCCGATGTATTATCACCCGATGTGATCCTCATCCTGGCTTCGTCGCGAGACGCCATCCATGTCCCCACTCAACGTCCCGAGCTGTTCCCAGCCTCTCACCCGCGGAGCGGAGCGACACGCTGTCAGCTCGTTGGGTTTCCCGTGTCGCTGGGGCCGCCGCCAGGACACGCTCCGCATAGGGTCATGACTGCGTGTTCTCTAATCAGCTTGTCGGCGCGCTCGATAGAATTTTTCGAACGCCCAATGAGAAAGCCCCGGCCCCCGATTAACACCCAGCATCGATAACCAGCACGCCTGCATGGGACGCGGCAGCTTCAATATTGCCTCACGCTGATGTCTAGGTTATTTGATCTGCCCGCACTATCCAGCCCAGGCTGATGAGATGCACCCCTGCCCTCAAGTTTCAAGCAGTCAGAGCACAATGCAGGTCCTGCCCTCTAAGTTTCAAGTCCCAGGGCTTCAGTAAGCATCTACAGGCATGCCTTGGAGGGCAAGGGGAGGGGAAGAGGAGGTGAGGGTTGCTGCGGTCGTGCTCCCGCGCATGGTTTGGCACATTTTGTGAATGGTGGTCAGTGGAAAGGAGATTGCCGATCATGGTTTTTCGACAGCAGCACCCTTGAGATCCTTGTTTTCTGATGCTGGCGTTTTGATCAATGGCCAGAGGTCGATCCTTGCAGTTGCCGTCCTTTCATGATGTTGCTCAATCCCGCCTCCTCATCGGCTTTCCGCGATCGCCTACAACGCGGTGACGAGCGCGTGCATGAAGTGTGAGCAGTGGGAGCAGGCCGCCATCCTCTGAAGCCTTTTTTGCAGCTTCGCCCACGAGTATTGGGATCCTCCTGTTGCAGCTGCTGCTTCTTTGATGTGCGCGTTCGGGAGGGGGGGCACCGGCTCGCTTCCCACCATTGCCAGCCCTCAACAGAGCTCCAGCACTCCCCTGGGGGGAACTCGTTGCGCGCTGGCGCCTGAGTGCGAGCCCAAGTTCCAGCCCCCCGTTTTAGCCGGCTGCCTGCGGCGTGATCTGCCACCCTGCCTGCGAAGCAATCTGTGTGGCGACGTCCAAGAAGGCTGCAACATGTGACGCCGTTCGTCTTCAGTCGAAGAGTGGCCCTCATGAGGCCTACCAGGGCCGTCTTGGGGCTGTCATGGGCTCCTCTGGGGCTGCTTTGCGGCCCTCGTCGGGCCCTCTTGGGTCGTCTTGAGGCCGTCTTGGGGCCTTCTTTGGCCGTCTTGAGCCGTTTGGCTCTCGGCCGTCTGGGGGTTCTCTGGGCTGTCTTTGAGGCCTCCTTGGGGCCCTCTCGGGCCATGGTGGGGTGGGGCTGCCTTGGACTGTCCTGGGCCCCTCTTGGGCCACATTGGGGCCCACTTGGGGCTGTCCTGAGCCGTCCCCTGTTGGTTTGGGGGCCCCTCATTGGGCTCGTTTGGCTTCCTCTTGGCTCCTCAGAGGCCTTCTCGGAAACATCCTGAGCCGAGGTCGCTGGCCAAAACACAACACGCATTCAAAAAGCCACTGGTTTCCAAGTGTGTGTTGAATGAGTTGTGTCGTTCTCTACGGCCATTTGGCGCCTCTTGGAGTCTTCTTGGGGTCTGCTGGGTGAGACCTGATGTGGTCTTGGAAAATCATTGTGGCCTTGGTGGCCTTCCTGGGCCGTCTTGGAAGCCTTGCAGAGCCTCGGATCGCCCATGGACGCCTCGGACCGACACAGGAAAGCTCGGGTGTTGGGGCGATGCACGCCCGTGATCGTGAGAAGAGGGGGCTGCTACCAACCATCTACCACGCTTCACCGTGCCCCGGCTCACGGTGACGTTTACGGCTTACGGTTCCCTCACAGTGCGTAGGGCCACAAGGGAGACGAGCGAGGCAGAGACATGTCAAGTGGGATGAGGCACTTCAACGCAACCGATGTCTTCGCGATTCCTCCCTCCATTCCGCACTAGGTCTTGAACACGCTCGAGGACATGGAGAAACACGGTTTCCAGCCCGACTTGATATCCACAGGCTGCTCGCATTCCACTGCTCTATGTGGCGCTCATTACATTGATTTCTTTCACCTACCGCAGCTCCGAGACCAAAGTCCGTGGTCAATGTTGGTATCGTGCGCCCTGTGTTCTGCAGTCCCTGTTTCTATTTGGAGGCGTGTGCAACACATGGTGGTGCCATGGGGTGTCGACTAGGCAGTGGTTGTGCATGCTCATGGGGGGGGGTTCGGTAATGGGGAGTGGGTTCAACAAGGGGGTGAAGAACGGGGCCCGAACGGAACCCTTGGGGTCCCTCTGAGAGCCAGCAGGGGCCCAAATGGGGCCTTAAGGGGCCCCTTTAGGTGTCTCTTCGTCACCCCCCATATAGGCCGCCCCTATTGCCGCCCGCCCGATGTACATCCCACGTGAACCCGACATGGATCCGACGCACACTGGGTCTCGCGTTGCCGCGCGGGGTCCCCAGGCTGTTCCTCATAAGTGAGGGTCCTCCCGCCCGGCGTCGCCCGCTCCCCGCCCACCCCTCGGGGCCAGGAAACGGCTTCCAGACTTCAAACAACGAGGACAATCTGGCGGAGGGGGGGGGGTCGCACGGATCTGCGGGTTTTCGCCCTCGTTTCGCGCCAGCCCCTCCCTACCTTCGGGGTTGGGAAACGGCTCCCAGACAGCGACAACGAAGGAAACGTGGCCGCAACTTTTTGTTTGGGGCGTCGAAACGTATCTGCGAGTCCTCCCCCCTGTCTCCCCCCCTCCGCCTTCGGACGTGATTCCGATGTGAATCCGGCGTGGATCCAACGGAAAGCGCGCATCCCATTGCCGCGCGAGGCCTCCACCATGTCTCTCGTCGGCGAAACACAGATTTTATCCGCGGGCTCCTGGGCCGGGCCCCCGGGCGTCGACCCCGCGGATACGGGGCGTTTTTTCGCGGATGCCCCGCGCGGAACGTCTCCGTGCGACCGCGTATCCGCGGGGTCGCGCCCCAGAATCCAGACCGCGAGGGTTTGGACATGGGTGCGTTCGCCGCTCGTGATGAGAGCCCCCCCCCGTCGCGCCCGCCCCGTCGGGCCCGAGGGGAAGGTTCTGGCCCTGGAGGTTCTGATTTCACGGGCGTCTTCGCCCCTCGCGAGCACAGGTTGAGCTCGCTCGGCCTCGAAGAGGGCGACCCCCCCTGGGTGCAGGTTCGGGGAGTCGACTCGACCAGAGCTCCGCAGCCGTGCGGCGGCGAATCAGACTCTGAAGCGCCAGCGCTCGAGTTTGGCAGAGATCTGGGATCTCCTGGCTTTCGCCCCGCCCCCCCCCCCCGCCCAGACAACCTGGCGGACACGCCGCATGTTTTCGCGCCCCTTCACGCGGAACTGTGGCCCCTCCCCCCGTCTCGGACGCCGGCCCCCCGACCCCCGCTGTCGAGGCTGGAAAGCGGCCTTTTCTCCTTCCTCCTCCTGCACCTCCGCCTTTTCCCAGTCGGCGTTGGAGATCCGGCAGATCGAGCCCCGACGGAGGGAAGATTTTCACTCGCACCTCGCACGGCCGACGGACTCTGACAGCCGCGCGGGCTGTGCTGCCGGGGCCAGGGGAGGAGAAGGAGGAACAACAAAACACAACAAGTCCTGCAGCCTTTCCGATGCCGCGCGTCTTTGCGATCCTCCCTAGAGCGACTGGGTCGCGATCTGGTAATGGACATGTCTCGTGCGGCATCACTCCAATTGTCGATGGAAGATTTGAGTACGACCTCGGAAAAACGTCGAGCCAAAGACGCAGAGAACGGATCCGCCGCAACCACGCTCGGAAATGCCAGCTTGCCAGGATCGCAATAGTTGAACAGTTGGTAGCACGCGCCCAGGGACCCTGTGCTTTATGGACAAATTCGGCAGGAAGAGAGGAAGCGCTGGAGCCGCCGCCACAGGGCGCGCAGATGGGCGCCGACATCGAGGTAGACAACAGCGACGGCGAGAGGGGCGGGCAGACGGCAGCGGGGGAGTTTCCAGAGTTTGCTCGGCCCCCCCTTCCCCCTGCGTCCCGCGGAGCCCAGGGGGAAGAGCTGCC